GAGCTTTTACATCAAATCTGTGGCTGTTTTTTGAAACATCTTCAAACCATATGTTTACCGACCGATCAAAATGAGTTTTTTTGTGGCGTCATCTACCTTGCGATGCACAAAAGTGAAAGTTCTTTCCTAACCGCTTCTTTTTTACCGGTATTTCGCACCTTCCGTACTACTAGTCAAAAATGGAACATACCCTATCAAGCAGTTCCCTCTGTCGGTCGAATTAAAAAGGTACTTATCCAACGGATTGTTATAAGCTCGATATAACTTTGTCTGTCACCGTTCGGAAACCCATAAAATCTTATCAGTCTTATAACTTTATCCACTATATAGTTATGGAACCAATAAGGGCAAATGTTGAGAAAACGGGCATTAGAGAACAAATTTCACTCTGACCCGGTTTGTAGGCTCCGGGCTTGATGGCCCCTCCCAGCTGATCGAGGACCTGCAGGAGGAGCTGCGCGAGTTCGAGCGCGCTGTCGAGGCCCACCGACTGCGCCCATTGCCGGGCGATTCTGCGGAAAAGGGCGCCCAACTGCTCATAGCCAGCACCAAAGTGGTCGGCCAAGGCGTATGTATCGTTTTTCATTAGGTCCTAGTAAAACATCGCAGTTCCAAGCACGTTTTAACTGATATTGACAACATGTTTGATATTTCAGGTGGCTCAATTGCTGAGCGCGACCGCCCAAGGCAACGAGATGTACAACCAACAGGCAGCCAGAGACACTGCGCACAGTTTACGCAACTTCACGGGTGCGGTGCGCTGCATCGCTGCAACGAGCGATAATCCGGATTTGCAGCGGAAAATAATCCACGCCGGTCAAGACGTGCTGGGCAACTCTGCCCGGCTTTTGGACGAATCTTTGCGCAGTTTGCACGTGGTGGACACGACGCCCACCTTGCACAAAACGGCCAAGAAAGTGAATGCTGCTTTGCAACGCAGCATCGGGTGTCTGCCCGGGCAAAAGGATGTCGACGCCGCCATCACTAACATCATCGGTAACTTAGCGCGCCTCCAAACGTTCGCAGTTGTTTCACTGCCTTTGGTTGTAGAATGGAGTTCCACTCTGGAAACCGGCCAGTTTCCTCCGACCAACAAGTCTTACAGAGAGTTACAGCAGGAACTCAACACGGCGGCCGCCAATCTGGACCAGGCCAGCGCCGGCGTTGTGCACTCTGTCCACAACCCGGTAAGAATTTCCAGATTTCTTTGAGTTGAGCCCGTAACAAACAGAAATAATTTTCAGGTTCAACTGGCTTCGTCCTCCAAGGACTTCTCGTCGGCCTTCCATGACCTCTTGCAGGTCTCCATGGAGATGGCGGGAGAGACCAACGAGCCGCAAGTTCGCGGCGAGATGATCCATTCGCTGAAAAGCGTCTCCACCTCATCCAGCGCCTTGCTGACCACGGCCAAGTCGCTTTCCGCTGACCCTAACTTGCCTAACGGCAAAAATCAGCTGGCAGCAGCTGCGCGGTACGTACGCTTTGGGTCAGTTGGGATCATTTGCTCACTCCGCTGCCTTTCCAGAGCGGTCACCGACAGCATCAACCACCTGGTGAACGTTTGCACATCAGCAGCGCCGGGGCAAACGGAGTGCGACAACGCCATCCGGAAAATCCAGGCGATGCGCTACCTTCTGGAAAAGCCCAGCGAGCCGATCAACGACTGCTCATACTTCGAGTCGTTGGACTGCGTGATTGAGAAGAGCAAGGTGCTAGGCGACGCCCTTACCGGCATGACCAACACCGCCCGGCTGTCTGAGCACGAAAAGTTCGCTGATCACATTCGAAGTTTCAGCAGTGCCATCTGCTCCCTGGTGGAGACGTCGGCGCAGACCGCCTATTTGGTAAGCAGCTTCCCCGTGCAAAAGGTATGTGATCAAACCGGGGATTTTTTCAGGTAGGGGTGTCCGACAGTTCTTCCATCGCCGGGAGACCCGGCTTAGTGGACCAAGCGCAGTTTGCTAGAGCTTCGCAAGCCATCCGCAAGGGCTGCGAGGCCCTGACGAGCAGCGCCAGCCCCCAGAAGCAGGTTCTTGAAGCCGCCACTGTTATTGCCAAGCATACGAGCGCGCTTTGCAACTCTTGCAGGTAGCTCAGTGCTTGCATTAATCATCGACAGTTGGTACATTAGTTGGATTCCAGAGGCGCCAGCTTCAAGACGACCAACCCAGTGGCTAAACGGCAATTCGTGCAGAGCGCCAAAGCGGTGGCCAACTCCACTTCGGCGCTGGTCAAGGAAATCAAGGCCCTCGACAACGAGTACAGCGAGGAGAACCGACGACGTTGCGCAGAAGCCACTAGGCCTTTATTAGGCAAGTTGCAAAAATGCCCGTCTGTTCGCCAAGTCACATTTTACTGAACTTTTCCAGACGCTGTTGAGGACCTGTGCGTCTACGCCAGCTCGAGCGAGTTTGTAACGATCCCAGCCAAAATATCCCCACAGGCCAGGGAGGCGCAAAAGCCGATTGTCGGCGCCGGCAACCGCTTGATCGACAGTTCCTGCTCAGTGATTTCGGCCGCCAAAAATCTGATCGTGATGCCAAAGGATCCGTCCACGTGGCAGCAGTTCGCCAAGTGTTCCAGGGATGTTTCCGACTCCATGAAGCAGCTGGTCGTGAACATCAGGTGGGATTACTGGGTTCTGTTTTTGGCATTTCATTCAATTCCAAATCAAAATCAATTCCTGGGCTTCAGTCATTTATTGTCTCTAATTATCAATTAAAATACGTTGATTTGGAATTGAAACAGTCAGGAAAGTATGTACAATTTCATTCAATGTCTTTGCGATGTAGGACGGAAGCACCCGGGGGGAACGAATGCGAACAAGCCGCCCTGATCCTGAGCAATCACTTGAAAACTCTGGACGCGGCCTACATGGACGCAGTGTCCCAGTCGTTGCAGCCGCGAAAAACCGCTACTTTGCCCATATTCAGCCAACAAGTCGAAAGGTAATTGGCTGTCTGGCAAAGCAGGCTGATTCTAATTCGTTGTTGTTTAGATCGGCGGCCGGCCTAACAGACACCATCGAGCCTTTACGCCACGCCGCCAAGTTTGAAGCGGAAAACATCGGGCACACCGTCAACCAAATGATCCAGTACTTCGAGCCGTTGGTGCAGAGCAGTATTGGCGCCGCCTCCAACATGACCAACTCCAAGCAGCAGGAGCAACTGCTCAATCAGGCCAAGTCAGTGACGGAAAGCGCGCTACAGTTCGTCTACTGCACGAAGGATTGCGGCGGCAACCCGCAGGCGAAAAACCTGCACCAGGACATTGACGAGACGGCCGATCTGACCAGAATCGCCGTCCAGGAGTTGCTCCAATCGTTGGAGATCATTTCGACCCAAAGCGGCATTGTGTCCGGAGTAATGGAGAATCTGACCAGGGCGATGACGAGGCTTGCCGATCATAGAGCGTCGCTGATCATTTCCGACAGCGACAACTACGTGGACTATCAGACTAGGATGGTGGAGTGCGCCAAAGACATCGCTAAGATATCAGGTAGGCGCAGTCGGTTGGCTAAGTCCTTTCACGTGTTGGCACTTTGGCGTTTCCAGGGGAAATGGCCACAAAGGCGGCTACAGACAGTCAACAGCTGGCCACATTGAGTGCCCAGTTGGCGCACAAGTACACTCAGCTAGCCAATGATAGTGTGGGAGCAGCAGCGGCGGCCACCAACGGCGAAGTCGGCATCAGACTTAAAGAGGTAGAAGTTACCCTCACTAACCTAGCGCTTGTAACTCTAATTCCATCGCGGCGTTTTTAGATTGTCCAGCAACTGGGGGCGGCTTGTGTGGATCTTGTCCAATCCAGTGGCCAGTGCTTGATCAGCAAGGACGACGTCAGTCTTCGTGAATTGGGCGATTGCTCTCGAACTGTCATTGAAAAGGTTGCTACTGTGCTGGCGACCCTGCAGAGCGGCTCGCGAGGTGAGTGTCCACCCAAAACCGTCCGAATTCTCGAAAATAATCGGCTCTATAGGCACGCAGGCCTGCATCAATGCCGCGTCGACCGTATCGGGCATCATTGGCGACTTGGAGACCACTATCATGTTTGCCACTGCCGGCAACCTAAACCCGGACAACGAGAACGAATCATTCGCGGACCATCGCGAGAATATCCTGAAAACTGCCAAGGCTCTGGTGGAGGATACAAAGACGTTGGTAGCAGGCGCCGCCAGTTCTCAGGAACAACTCGCTGTTGCCGCCCAGAACTCTGTGGCGACAATCGGTAGGTCAAACTAACGCTGCTCTGAGAGTAGTAGTCTATAAAGTTGGTTTTTATTCCAGTTCAACTGGCTGAAGTGGTAAAGTTCGGAGCGGCCAGTCTGGGCTCGGACAATCCAGACTCGCAGGTGATGCTGATCAATGCGGTGAGGGACGTGGCCAGCGCACTTGGGGACCTGATTCATGCCACTAAAGCGGCCAGCGGCAAGCCAATCAACGACCCCGCCATGGCTCACTTGAAAGACAGCGCCAAGGTAAAATCCATTCTTTCAAAATTTTTGTGCTAACTTAGCTCGGTTGTATAGTAGTTTTAATAAAGCTTTTTCACGTTTGATTTGCCTTTACTTAAGAGTGTTGCTAATAGTCTGATTTTTTCCAGTAATATTGCCTGTTTGCTTCGTTAACTCTTATTTTCAAATTGCACTTTGCACGCTCTGACTTGAAGCTGGCAAGTTTTGACCAAAACCAACATCAAACTTGGTGGCAAGTAATTAAGTTTTTGGTGACATCGTTGATTTTTTAGAACCTTTGAGTGTGATCAGCTACGTTCCATTTCCTTAACATCGGCATGAAGAGGAGACATTAATCTAGATTCGGACCAACAACCGCCTGCAGTGTGGTCGCTCTAACACATCCACTTGCGTACTGACTAACCTGAGCACTAACGCAACACATTGTGGTGGACTTTAAATAATAATCAATCACCTTTACTATTTACCAAAAAAGAAATAAAACGCACCAGTAACGAACCAATTGGCCCCACAATCCGAAATCAATCAAAACATGTCGATTGATTATTTGAAGTCCATGTCGACGCTGACTCGCCAGGGTGCCGGACTAACGTACATGTTTTGATTGGTTGACCAGGTACTCGACTCAGACACCGATTGGTGGATTTCGGATCAGGAGGACGAGCTGCTCCGCTTGCTGAGCGACAGCAAGGAGAACGTCAACTCTGAGAGTTGCACCGAGCCGGAAAATTTGCAATCCGATATCGGCCAGTGTCTCGTTTTTGCTTCGTAACATCAGGAAAATCCCCGGAAAACTATTCGTATAATTTAGCGTTTTAAAATCCTTCAAAGTTTTCAGTTAAATACTTAAAAGGTTTTTTTTATTTTTTTACCGCTTCAATAATCGTTACTTATCGGAAAGTTTACCTTTTACTAATGTTATCCAATAAACAGCGTAGTTTGCCCGATTTTGCAACTTAAATTATTTCTCAGCCCATTGTCTTGACGGTAAGTGCCTTCCGATGTGCACCAGCAACTTCAGTTCGCCCCCTACAACTGAACTTGCTACTGCTCGGGTTGTGTTTTTTGTGGTTTCCGACTATACTTGTCCGTTTATTTGTCTGTTCTGTTTCCTAACCCGATTCTCTTTCAGCTTTGTAGACTGTTTTAGGTGTGTGTCTCTAAAAGCATGCCACATCATGTAGTTGTTGTTCTGATGTGAATCTGTGTGTTTCTTGCAGATAATGGTGACCAACGTGACGTCGCTGCTCAAAACAGTGAAGGCGGTTGAAGACGAACACACTCGAGGCACGAGGGCTCTGGAGTCGACCGTGGAAGCCATCGGCCAGGAAATGAGGGTAAAGTTGCCCCAATTGTTGCTGTCTAAGGAGTTTGCTGATGTTTCAGTTTCAGACGCTTTACTCCAGTGAGGGCTGTAAGCCGAACGTCACAGTTGAGGACCTGATCCGATGCACGAAAAGTATCACAAACGCCACTGCCAAGTCCGTGTCGGCAGGCATCAGCAACAAGCAGGACGATATTATTGGTAAAGTTTGAATCGAGTCTCTAATCGGTGGATTCCTCAACTTTCCACTGTTCAGCTGCTGCGAACATGTCCCGGAAAGCCATCTCCGACATGTTGATCACATGCAAGAGTGCGGCCTATAACTTGGCCGAAACCAACGAGCTTCGAGAGGACACACTGCGAGCCGGACATGACTGCGCGAAAGACTTCAGGCAACTTCTCATAGCGATCCTCGACGGCAACGGCGCAGCCGACATGAAGCAGACTTTGCCCATCATTTCGCGGAAAATCGCGCATTCCGTTACAGAGCTGGTCAACTTGGCCAAACGTCTCAAAGGTAACACTTTCGGCAGTTGCCCAGTTGCTGGTTGCAATCATTTGCCTTTATAGGCTCTGATTGGGTGGATCCTAACGATCCAACAGTGATAGCGGAAAAAGAGCTGCTCGGCGCTGCCGCCTCTATAGATGCAGCCGCTGAAAAGCTGGCCAATCTTCGCCCCAGGCAGAATATTAAGGTGAGAACCTGCATGGTGGATGGTTTTTCTTTCAGCAGCGCTGGCGCCCTTTTGCAATCGCTATAAGATATGTTTGATATTCTTGGTTGTCGATTCGAAAGCACCCAGGAGTCAAACATATTATTATAGAGATGATGCTCCGAACGACCACAGCCTTTTATTTATCTTCCGAGCAAGGGTTCTGATTGAAGTCCACAATCGTGATCAGCAACTCTACATAGGTCTTTCTATGTTCACAGGTCCAAGACCCCAACATGGAGTTCATGAACTTCGACGAAATGATCCTGGAAGCGGCCAAATCTATCACCACCGCAACTTCAGCCCTGATTAAGGCAGCCAGTGCCGCGCAGCGGGAGCTGATTGATAGTGGCAAAATGACCCGGTAAGCACGAATGCTGCTGTTTGCCACTGCATGAGGTACAAGCGTTGTGTTTAAGGTACCCTATTTCTTCGTCCGACGATGGTCAATGGTCGGAGGGGCTTATTTCAGCTGCCAGAATGGTGGCCGCAGCCACTCACAGTTTGGTAGAGAGCGCCAATGCTTTAGTCCAAGGTATGTTGATTTTGAGAATTTATTTCTTTTATTTGATGAAAGGATTAAAACTAAATAACCACTGGAGTGTGTCAATATACTAAGGTCGGTAAGTTTAAATTTTCGATTGAGTGCACCCAGCAAGTGCACGCAAGTCGGTATATGGCAACGTTGCAGATACGACATACTGAATACAATGAAAATTAGGGAATAATGTTGAATGGCACTTACCAATTGTTTATACAGTTTTCCTGTCGGGAAGAACGCTCCAATGATCTATGAATCCGCAAAAAGTGAATTTCAAATGGGCACCGACACAAGACTCCCGACATAGTGTCCAAACGTCACATGAAACATTTAAATTCACTTAATGCATCCGAAAACACCGTTGTAGCTGCGATTTTAGTATCGGAATGATGAGGAATTTCCGCACTTTTCAATTATACACAATTTTCACTGATTTCGAATGATTTTTCGCAAAATTTTCCATTTTATAGCAGACCAGAGCAACGACCTTCTTTCAATGCGAAATGACTTATATAAATTGCAGAGTTGCCGGTTGCATTAAATAGGGTAGTTGCGCGACGTCATAGTAGCATTGGACGGAACAATGCCAATATGAACAAATTACAAAACTGTTTGTTTTTCACATGTCTTCGCAAAGTTCGCTTTAAGAAACCATGCTATAAAGTAAAACGTTTTTTTCAGTGACCTAAGCGGACAGATAATATCTGCAATCAGGATACATTTACTGATCAAATATTATCTGTTCGCTTAAATAAAAAAAAAACCTTTTAATTGATTTACCCGCACTAACATTGTCAAATTATAAAGTGTTTTGTTAGCCCAAAACTAGTGGTTTTCTTTGAGTTAGAATTTATCAAATTCATTTCGCAGGTTTGGCTAGCGAAGACAAACTGATTGCGGCCGCGAAACAAGTGGCAAGTTCCACTGCCCACCTCTTAGTGGCTTGCAAAGTGAAGGCTGAGGGTGACACTGAGGCCACCAGAAGACTACACGCGGCTGGAAATGCCGTCATCAAATCCACTGACAATCTAGTGACCGCCGCACAACAAGCCAAGCAAGTTGAAGAGGAAAAGTAAGCTAAAAATCCGCGCAGAGTTCTTGATGGTAACCCGATTACTTGCAGGTACCTGGTGATCAGCCGGCGAATGGTGGGCGGAATCGCGCAGGAAATCGACGCACAAACCGAAGTCTGCAGAAAACAGCGGGAGCTAGAAGAGGCGCAAATCAAGCTAGCGGCCATCCGCAAGGCGAAATACAAACTGAAAGGTAATTGGTTAATCCGAT